ATTTTTTAAATCATGGTCCTGCCCTCCACCCCCTAAGGCAAAAAAGTTGGGGCGAAACTACTACAATTGATGAAATCTTTAAAAATCTTCTTTACACATTGACATCAAGCCGTATACCTGTTGACATAATTATCAGAAGCATTGACTCCCTCTACCAAAATTGTGAAGTTTATTGTCCCAGGGTCAGGGGCTCTGGGGTTAGGACAGGGCTATAAAATTTATATCGTGAAATGCATTTATTCTTTGAAAATTTCCCTCTGTCCCTGGATATTAAAAAAACTAACTACATGCATAGATATGATGAGGAATGGATATTCTCTCCAAAGTTTTGAAATTCATGACCCAAAGGTAAGGGGTTTTGGTGTAACGGTGGGGCTATATAAATTGTAAAGTTAAAATTCATTCATTCTTTTAAAACATATTTCTCTCCGCTGCTGGATATTAATTAAACTAACTACATATAGTTATGATAAACAAGGGAGCCTCTTCCAGAATTATAAATTTCAAGGCCCCTGGCTCATGGGTACCATTGAGGGGTGGGGGCTCTGATTAAATACTGTAATTGAATTAATGCTTTGAAATTTGTTCTTTGGTATAAACCAATTTTTTTTTTTATTAAAAAGGGTGCCTTTTTCCAAAATTGTGAAATGCATGACCCCAGGATGAGGTTTTTTGTGGTCATTGGGCACAACTTATTATTGCTAATTATTATTGATTATTTGAAATGCACTTTTTTGTTCCCCTAAGCTCTATATACTCCAGTAAGTATTAAGTAGCCAAACTAAGCATGCTAAGTATATATTATGGAGAGCAATGGTGCTTTTTTCAAAATTGCGAAAACCATGGCCTCTGGTTCAAAGCTCGAAATTAAATTCAATTGTTTTAAAGTTTTCACATGATGTTCAGATGACCTATAAGACACATAGGCATCTTGTCGTGTTCTTATAAGAGAACCTCTAGTATCCCGTTAATATGCATTTTATCTGTATCATCTAGTCCACCCTTATTTTTTCCCCAGATGTCTCTTGGTTAAGACGGGTCTAGATGCCGTATCTCTGCATACATATAAATTTTATTTATGTCTGGTTTCCATAAAAATGTACAACAATGGGGACATAAATTGTCTCCCTATTTATGTGCAATATAAGGTGACATCTTGGTTCCCCTTGTGTTGTAAAATATTAAGTGAACTTAGGTCCCCATAATGATCTACAACATAGGGTGACCTCTGCCCCCTATTGATGTATAAGGTGACCTCTGTTTCCCCTTATGCTGTACAATATAATCTGACTTCTGGTCTTGTTCAGAACAAGGTGACCTCTGGTCCCCCTACTGTAGTACAATATAAGGTGACCCCTGCTCTCCATATTGATGTAAACTATAAGGTGTCCTTTGGTCCCCCTACTGATGTACAATATAAGGGGACCCATGTCCTTGCCTACTGATGTCCCTACTGATGTATAATATAAGGTGTCCTCTGGTCCCCCTACTGATGTTCAATATAAGGTGACCCCAAGTCTCCCTACTGATGTACAATATAAGTTGACCACTGGCACTACTGGACGAAAAAAGTGCTGAGAATCCCAAATTTTACTGATAATGTTTGATAATTACTGATACGGTGCTGTTCTTTCTGATAAATACTGATATTTACTGTTATTATTACTGTTGTTGCTGATAATTTTAGTTGATGCTGATAAATACTGATAATTACTGTCGTCTTTTACTGTGGAGTCTGATAAATACTGATAAATACTGTTGAGGTACTGTCGCTGCTGAGTACTGCTGATAATTACTGTGGTCATTGTTTTTAACCTGGGAATGGATTAAAATAGCCTGAGAAATGATTATTTGTTGGGTTCTTAAAAAGTATTTTAACAAATTCAATACAGTCAATTACAAAATAAATTATTCTCAATAAAAAAAAGTCATATTTTCTTAATTTGTATTCAGTTTTCATCTACTAGTATTAATTTCATTAATAATTATTTTTAGACCATAATGTTAATATAAGCTTTTCATAAATGTTTATGTTTTTTCTTTAAATTTCTCCTTACACGTAGATGACATTATCTGAGGAAAATTATTCTGTTGTATTTGCAGTGGTTCTTCTGCCCAAGTACTTTTTAAAAAAGTTTAATTTTTGTTCATAAAGGTTAAAAAAAATCTCTCCTCATATTTTTTCTCACATGTTTGTGTACTGTCATCAAAAGCTTTTTGTGGGTATCTTTAGTACTTCAATACAGTCAATGGTTGTAAATATCAATTTTTTTTACCGTGTGGAGACTGAAAATGCATGAGCACATTAAGTTTACCCCCCCCCTTAACAATTACTTTTAAATTAAGCTCTCATTTTAACAAGACGGTATAAAATATTTTTCATAAAATCTAGTCTTGAAGCGTACACTTTGTTATTTTATGGAAGCATGTGACAGGGTTGAATAACTGAATTGAAGCTTCTTTAATTATTTTTTTTATATATATTATGCAGACAGCGCGCTCTAGTTCTCCGATGTCCTCCCTGCTAATTTTATATTGTGTCGCTTTGTAGCTTTCTCTCTCTCTCTCTCTCTTTTAAATTATTTGTTAAGGCTTAAGTATTGTACACTCCATGACATAAATCTTATGCAGTGTGATTTTCAGTCAATGAAATATACGTCTTTCTTTAGGCTAACTCTTTTTTCATTGTATACAGTTTTAAGTCTATGGGCATATGGCTTCTGATATTATGCGCCACTCCTTAAACATGTTATATCCGGTCAGTCAGTTAAAAAACTACATAAAATAAATTATGAACTGAATTAAATTTTCCATTAATGCAAACTTTATGCTTGTTGTTATTGAACATACATGTATGTCAACCACGTGCAAAAGTTCTACTTTCGTTTTAGAATCGGGTCAATTATTAGTACATTCTGCCATAGGGATATCGTTACGGTTTGCGTTTTTGTAAAATTAGAATTTTGTGCAGTGATTATAATTTTTTTTTAAATTCCATTTTTGTATTTTTGTCCGAGACATTTGTATAAACGAACAGCACAGACTTGGTGCTTATGTATATGATTTTACTTGATTGTAGCACAAAAAGGAGGGGGCGAAATATACTGTTTACAATTAAGTGATAGTCGATAGGGCAATGTCTGTTCTTTAGTTGTGTGTTTTAAAACTCATGCAAGTTATGATATTATACTTATCGAATTTTTTATATGCATGAATAAAATTATTTTAGAGAAACAATTGCAATGAACCATACATGCAAATATCAGAACTGAAGTAATTATAACATTTATTCATGAGTGCGATATACAACGTCATGTTTCTGACATTCAAAATCAATACATTTAAGGTTTTTTTTTTCCTCGGATTAAGCGAAGTGGAGTTTCTCTGCATCTGAATTGCCAATTTGGGAACAATTCATGCTAATATTATTTCAAAAAAGTGCTTCACTAAACAATCTTTCTCTGTATATCTATATGATTGTATATTTTGCACACTTTTTTTTAATTAAAAAGTGAAGTAAATTTCTCGTCTACGTATTTACCGGTCCCGAACAATCGTTAGCAGAGATTCAGAATTGAAAATACATGTGACCACCTCCCCCGGGATATTCTTTTATCTGATAAACAAAATATGCTCCCCGGCCTAAATTCCCTTACTTCGCATTTATAGCAACATACATTTTTTTTTGTTTAGTTTCTTATTCACGCATGCCTTCTAGACCTACTGTTATGTAAAAATTACCTATTTTTTATGTTTTGGGGGTCCTTGTATACTTAAGTAATATGGTAAGAAGATTCAAATAAATGATTGATTGATAGAAGAAATATGCGTAAAACTAAATAATGAAATTAAATACTGAGGAAGATAGATCTTTGAGAATTGAAATATTAATGAAAGTAAGTCTGTACAACGTACATGATGTATGTATCTTTTTTTTTCATTATAGTACCAAAGTTTTATATTCTAAATATTTTTTCTATGAATTTTATTCGTCATGGAAAATTTTTTTCGTGCGACCATACACTTTAAGATTGTTCCAAAGTAGCGAGTACATGTACAGTGTAGGTAGTTTGTTTATTGAAAACACCGGTAGCCGCAGACGAAGAACAATAGGTAATTAGTGCCCATTGTTACGCTGACCACTACAATTTGCGTGGAATATACAAGTTGTACCCAGTTCTACCCCGGGGCTGAAGACATGTACACAATACAGCCAAATCACAGGTCGATCACTGATTTCTGATCAATTGAAATCAATTTAAAGGTGTTTTCCTATCAACTTTTTACCATGCAAAATTAAAATCGATCAATTTGATCATACACATGTATACTAATCATGCTAATAGTAAAATATTAATTTAAGTCTCATTTCAGTTCTTATTTCCCATTCCATATAATCAAATAAAAAAAATTAATGAGATTTCAAAACTGATTAAATAAAAAATGATTTTGTTTTTAAATTTTAAGAGACAAACTAAACACATGTACCTTTGTACTAGGGATTCTTAACCTCTAATTTTTAATCAGCTCGCCCCATGTGCCGTTGCACATGCATACAGTGTGTACTTGTACATATGTACATGTGGAGGAGTTTAATTCTTGGACGATCTACAAACGTCTATGTAACAATATTAGAGTATGTCAATTGAATATGGCTAAATATAGATCCTATTCATTCTTATGTACATGAGCAGCCTTGGTAAAATTTAATGTATTTCATGTAGCACCTAAGCGGGCCCGTTCTACATTGCCGCCATTGTTGTAAACATGCCATGTGCTTACCTACTTGAATAAACACTATTACACTCCACATAAAGACTTATACGAGTATTGATACATGGTGTCAGAAGTAAAGTGAGTACCGAACTTCGTTTTAATTAACGTGATTGTGTGTTAATTCACAGTGAATAGTTTTGGGAGTGCAAACGTGCTGGGTCGAATTTCCTCGACAAGTATACGTCCATGTGACACGTGAGTGCAAATTATACGAGTTGCAGCGAATGAGTAGTGAACCCAGTGACTTTACTGAATATATCAGATATCTTTATGGAATGGAGGATCAAGTAGCAGCACCGGCATCGATTATGCAGAGCCACATACCGCTCCCGCCAAAGTTGGAGTTGGCGGGTAACGTTGCACAACACTGGAAATCCTGGAAACAGCTGTGGGACTCGTATGTCATAGTGACGGGACTTTCAGAGAAAACCAATGCCTACCAGGTTGCGACTTTTGTTACATGTATTGGCCCTGAAGGCCTCGAGGTCTACAACGGACTACCATTTAAAGACGAAAATGAAAAGAATGACCCAGCAACCATATTGAAACTCATGGAGGAGTACTGTGTAGGGAAAACAAACACGATATATGAGAGATATGTTTTCAACAACAAGCATCAAGAAACGGGAGAGACAATCGATTCCTACGTCACAAAGTTGAGAAAGCTCTCACTGACCTGTGAGTTTGGTCAGTAAGCCGACCAGATGATTCGTGACAGAATAGTGTGTGGAATCAAGGACCACGCTATAAGAAAAAAACTTTTGCAAGAATCTGGACTGTCACTTTAGACATTTGTGGACATTTGTAGAGCAGCAGAGAAAACCGCCGCACAAGTTAAGACCATGAATCCTCAGGAGAAAATTCACACATTGAAAAAATCAACCAAACACAGAAACGGTGTGAAGCAGAAGGATCATAAAGGAAGAGGAACACACCATAAACCACAGAGTACAAGGACCCATACATGTTGTTACTGTGGTCAGCAGCACTCCAGAGATAAACAATCATGTCCAGCATGGGGCAAAACCTGTGGGAAGAAAAACCATTTTAAGGCAGTGTGCCGACAGCGAGATAAGAGAGTGAACTTCCTGGATAAGTATGAGCAATGTTATTCCGATGAGGAAATCCTTACAGTAGAACAGATCTTCGCTACCAGCGCTTTGGAACATCCGAGAAAACTGTTTGCTCAAATGAACATTAATTCTCAGCCGAAACCTGTAAAATTCCAAATTGACTGTGGGGCCACCTGTAATGTTATTACAGATGACCTTGTACCGAAAAATGTGAAGATACAGAAGGGTCATCACACATTGAAATTTTACAATGGACAGCAAATGAAGACTTCTGGCAGTTGTAATTTGACCCTCACTAATCCAAGAAACGGGGAAACATTCAAAGAGAACTTTGTTGTGGTGAACAGTGGTTTACACCCTATTTTGGGCTCAAGCACAAGTCAGCAAATGAACTTGATATCAGTACAACTTGACAATATTATGACTATAGAGTTTCCCAGCACAAACAATCACCTTGATATGGACACCATAACGAAGAATTATGGAGACATCTTTACAGGAAATGGATGCTTTAAGGGACCTGTGCATCTAGAAATAGACGAGACTGTCCCACCTGTGAAACTTCCTTTACGCCGTGTCCCAGTTGCAATCAAGCCACTTTTGCAACAAGAACTGAAAAGACTAGAAGGATTACAAGTCATTCAAGCTGTCAATAAGCCTACAGACTGGGTATCTAGCCTACTAGCATTCAAGAAGGCGAATGGAAAGTTACGCATCTGCATTGACCCGAAACCCTTGAATAAGGCGCTCCGTCGAAGTCATTACCCTCTTCCTGTGATCGAAGACGTTTTACCTGATGTATCCAAGCCTCGCGTTTTCACGGTGTGCGACGTAAAGAATGGCTTCTGGCATGTGGAGCTCGACGAGCAGTCCAGCTACCTTACCACCTTTGAAACTCCATTTGGACGCTATCGCTGGCGCCGCCTACCCTTTGGCATCTCCCCAGCGCCTGAGATTTTCCAGCATCGTTTGGAACTAGCCATACAAAACTTACCTGGAGTCAAAGCTGTTGCTGATGATATCCTTATCTATGGAGAAGGAGACAGTGATGCAGAAGCAGTACGCGATCACGACCAGAAACTGATCAGCCTTTTGAACCGTTGCCGCGAGCAGGGAATCAAGTTGAACAAAGACAAGTTTAAACTGCGATTAAAGGAAATGCCATATATTGGACATGTTCTGACCCCCAGTGGACTCAAGCCTGACCCTCGCAAAGTACAGGCTATTATCAGGTTATGGGAAAGCTTCATCAATCACATATTGGAGCTGAAGGATGCCTTCGTAGGGCTCGAGAGTGTGTGTACTGGCCGAACATGAACTCCGAGATCAAAGATCTTGTATCAAAGTGTGAAACGTGCCGAACTTATGAGCCATCACAGCAAAAAGAAACTCTCATCTCGCATGAGATTCCAAACCGCCCATGGTCTGTTGTAGGAGTAGATCTCTTCCAATCACCTGTAAGTGATGACCAATACCTCATCTCAGTAGACTACTACAGCAATTTCTTCGAAATTGACAGGCTGGAGTCTACCACCTCAGCTACTGTCATCAGCAAGTTAAAACAGCATTTTGCTAGACACGGAATTCCAGACAAAGTGATTAGTCATAATGGTCCCCAATTTACCTCCCAGCAATTTGAAAACTTCAAAGTCAAGTGGGAATTCGACCATAAAACATCCAGTCCGGCATATCCTAAGTCGAATGGAAAAGCGGAAAATGCCGTAAAATCCGCAAAGCAGCTTATGAGAAAAGCAAAGCACAGTGGACAAGACCCGTGGCTTGCGGTACTTGACTTCGGAAATACGCCAACACAAGGAATTGGAGAAAGTCCAAGCCAGCGTTTAATGAACCGTAGAACAAAAACATTGATGCCGCAGAAGGAAACATTGCTATCACCATGTGGTAAAAAAGATAACATCAAGAAAATGAGGAAGGAAAAGGACAGACAAGCTAGCTATTACAACCGCACAGCAAAAGATTTGCAAGAGTTACATCATGGTGACACAGTGCGCATGAAGCCAACACAACTGAGGGAAAAGGAGTGGAAGAAAGGAACAATCGTCGGCAAAGAGGGAATCAGATCGTACAATGTACAAACACAAGACGGTACCTATAGGAGAAACCCCTCTCATCTGAAGGCCACGTGCGAGAAACCAAACGACTTTAGCGTTATTCCTGACTACGCAACTCCGAACGAACAGTCAGGTGATAATTCCAGACAAACTGCGCCGAGTGGGAACTGCCCGAGACCTAGTTCCGAAACCAATGAAAGTGATCGATCCCTACCGGACAAACCGTTAGTCTTTTGAATCGGAGATGTGCCACCGAAGCCCGATGAACCGCGAACCACTCGTTCTGGACGCATTGTGAAGACGCCACAATATTTAGAGAAGTATGTGCATTCTGTGTACTATGTGTAATGAACTGTTTCAGTATTATTTTCATAGACTAGTCAGTTTGTAATATTGTTGTGTTCGAAATTGCATCTTTGATCTCATTCTTGATTAAATGTTTAGGTCCCTGATAGGATTTTTGTTTCTTCAAAAAAAAAGGAGATGTAACAATATTAGAGTATGTCAATTGAATATGGCTAAATATAGATCCTATTCATTCTTATGTACATGAGCGGCCTTGGTAAAATTTAATGTATTTCATGTAGCACCTAAGCGGGCCCGTTCTACATTGCCGCCATTGTTGTAAACATGCCATGTGCTTACCTACTTGAATAAACACTATTACACTCCACATAAAGACTTATACGAGTATTGATACAGTCTATATAACATTAAAATAAATGAATAAATAAATCAATTATTAATTAAAATCAGTGCCCACAGATTGAACATATTCAAACCTGTTTTCACCTCTTAGTTACTTTTTAAAAGGGATAAAATTTCTAATTTTCAAGCAAATTTTCAAATATTTCGACGAAAAGAGACCAGGAAACTGAACATTTAACAAGATAAATATAATTGTTTTCGAGAAAAAAAGGCCTTCACAAACAAAATGTTGTCCAAACTCGACCAGTTGACCTAGTGAAAACGGAACAAATCCAACTTTTCTAACCTGCAAATCCCGATTTTTTTCCATCCATTAAGAACTTTTTTTCTTATTATTGAAAAAAAAGATCACCGATCTCCCTACATAATTGTTGTGGGTTAGGTTGTGAAACACAATAATCCTATCGGCCACAAACTTAAAAAAAACATATTTTTAGCATATAGGTTACAGTAAAGGTCACAAGGTCATTGATGTTGTCATTTAAAAGAACTTGATTAGTGAAGTATGCATACCAAATATAAAAGTTTCTATCTCTCATGGTTCCAAACAAGCTACATTTAGCATATAGGACACAGTCAAGGTGACAAGATCATTGTCCTTGGTGTCATGTGAAAGGGCTTCATTAGTGAAGTATAAAAAAGAGCCAAAAATCAAGTCTCTATCTTTCTTCGTTCAAAAGTTATGGCAAAGATTTAAAAGTTTGCCGACAAAAAGGTATATTTTGCGTATACATTGTAGGTCACAGTCAAGGTCAAGGTAATTCTACATGTTGTCATTCAAAAAAGCTTAATCAGTGGTGTATGCATGCCAAACATAAAGTCTCATCCATTCATGGTTCATAATTTATGGCGAAGGTTAAAGTTTGCAGACAGACAAACAGATAAACAGACAGACAGACATGACGAAAACAATATATGCATAGGATCGTTTTAGCGGGCGCATAAAAACTTTAATCTTGGCCATAACTTTTGAACACGAAGGGCTAGTAATATCACACTTCACTTATGTTATCCTTGTGAAAAGACCCTTCAGTGGATACCATGAAATTTGACCTTTGACATTGGAGTTTGAATACTTTTAAAAAGTGAACCTTGAACATTTCTTTTAAAGGGTTAGATCTAGTGCTTTCATACTTTACATATTTAATCCTTGTGACAAGACCTTTCATATGATAGCAAGACCTTTGACTTTGAAGTTTGACCTACTTTTTAAAATTATCAACATTCCTAATAACTTCTGAACGGTTAAAACTAGGGTTTCCATACTTTACATATGTATTTTTTGTGGCAAGACCTTTCATTGGATATCAATGATCTTGACCAAGAGGATTTACCTACTTATGAAAAACGTTAACTTTGGCCTACTTTCATATTTCACAACTGTATTTTTAGTGAGACTATCCTACTTTTGGTACCAATATATTAAATTTGCATTTAAGAAAAGTTTAATCTTTGCATGTTGCCATACAAGTAAATGTTTCTTTAAAATTAGGTCAAACTCCAAGGTCAGGGTCCAAGGGTCAAACATTCTTGTTATCAAATGAAAGGTCTTGTCACAAGGATTAAATACATGAAGTATGAAAGCACTCACCCTAACCCTTTAAACGTAATGTTTAAGGTTTGCTTTTTTTTAAAGTAGGTCGAACTTTAAGGTCAAGGTCAAAGGGTCAACATGCTGGTATTCAATGAAGGGACTTTTCATTAGGATTACATACATGAAGTATGAAAGCCCTATCTCTTACTGTTTAAGTTATGGCCAAGGTTAAAGTTTTTTCACAGGTACAAAAATCTACAAGGTCAAGGTTAAAAGGTCAAGTTTGTTGGTATCCAATAAAAGGTCTTGCAACAAATAATACATATGTGAAGTATAAATTTCCTGGTATCTACTGTTCGAAAGGTATGGCCAAAATGAAAGTTGAAAATTTTCATGTAAAAGTGGGACAAACTCCAAGTTCAAGGTCAAAAGGTTAAATTTGGTTGTACCCAAAGAAAAGTCTTATCAGAAGGATTACACATGTGAAATATGAAAGTAAAGGCTCCACTAAATCAAAAGTTATGGGCAAGGTTAAAGTTTTTGCGGAAAAAACAGACAAACAGAGAGACAGACAGACAGAGAAACAGACAGACAGTCGGACGGACAGGACAAAAACTATATACCCCCGAAACTTCGTTTACGGGGGCATAAAAAAATCAATTAAAGACTTTTAGCCAGTAAAAACATTGTAATTCTATTTTGTTAATCTTTCAATGCATCTTTCCGACGCAGGGTTTATTGATGTTTAAATTACAGCTGTATTTAAATTTTCATTTAAAAAAAACGTTTTTTCCTCAGAGACGTTAATGCAATCTTTGTTAATTAGCAACTGTTTGATTAATGAAAATTTTGAAAATTTCTCGTGGGCAATCCTTTTCCACTATAAAATGCTTTGATAAAATATCAGAGTATTTTGTACTTGACGGATATTTAAGGGTACGCATCTAAGATAAGGCTGCCCGTAAAATATCAAACTATTCAAACTGTACTTACTTCTCTGAACTACCTAGATATGACGTCATAATAGAATGTGACGTCAAGTTAATGATACTTGAGCTGAATTGACTGGGAAAGTGTCATAAATTTTACATGGCATGTAGATTTATTTTGGAGACCTGTTGTTTAATTCAAGTGTAACAACTTTTTTTTTTTAAGCTCGAGTGTGCTATTATGATGCTGGACATTTGAAATTTAAATATTCTATTCTTTTTGCTTGTCCGATATGCACACATTCAAACAATAGCAAAAAATAATGTGTGAAACGCTCCCCTGACATGTACGTAGACAGAGTTAGAATCTATGAATTGTTTTTATATTGGACTGGCACAAGTGATAAACAAGGACAAATTAAATATATTCTGAGTGAATCTACAATAGAAGGATGTCCTCTAACTGGATTTTGGTGGGGGATTGCGTGTAGATAATCCATTTTTGTATAAATTGCGATAAAGTGTGGAAAATACCCCTTCTTATGTTGCTAAGTTGAATTTCTCGTAAAATATTTTCTTAATGAGTAAAATTTAAACCTGCCCCTCGGCAGCACTTTCTATGTCCCTGAGATCACGATGAATTGATCTATGATACAAACTTTGCCCAATATTTTTGTTTTGCACTTGTGCCACAGCGAATTTTGTGCAGCAATAAGGAATATCATAAATATCCGTCACGTGATCAAACAGTCATGTGACATCACAAAAATGCTTTAAGATAAAACCTGATTAAACTATTATCTCAAGGTGACTACAAATTCAAACAAGGATTACATTTTTAAAATTAAAATCTAGTTCAAAAATAAATGTATATTCTCAGGCATTTTAAGCCTTCGGACAGCCTTAACATAACTGCGTAGGGATTTTGGTCCCATAAGGGATGGAAATCCTTAAGTGAAAAAAAGTCCAGCCTTATGTATAAAATAAAAAGAGAATACGGGTAATCTTAAAGATACTGGAGCCTTTCCACCTTTCAAAGTGTTTATGTGATTTTGGTTGAAGAAAAAAGAAAAA